TGACTGAGAGATCCTGGCTTCAAGCAAATACCCCGGGCGGGAGCCGAGGGACCCTCGAAATCTTGCTGGTGATTTCTGCGGTGAGCACCGCGAAGTCCTGCTCATAACCTTCGAAGTCGGACGACATGGCAGCGCTGGAGTGACGGCCCGGGTCGGGGGAGGAGACCGCTGGGTGGGGACGGCAGGTACGTTTAAAAATCCGGGCTGAGACTCGGGCAAGGCTCCCGGCCAAACGCTTCCTGGTTGTGCTCCGGTCTTGCTTGTCCTCCCGAAATTGGGCTACTATGGTTTATACTTTCCGCTCAGCCTTCAAAGTTGGTTCAGTCGCTAAGGAAAAACATCCCAAATAGCGCCCTTCCCACGCACAAAAAAAGCCTACAGAGGTATGCGTGTTCTCAGAGGTCACTCAAGCATAGTCCCCTCTACGTGGTGGGACACGGCTTGCTTCACCCAACCTTCAGGTCACAGGTGACTGCTTCCTGGGGGGAAGGTAGATGCGGCGAACCTCCCGGAAGTGGATGTGGCGGAGGCTGCGCAGGAGCGCTGCGCGGAGGGTAGCGGGAGGGCGCCGGCGGCGGAGACGGCGCGCGGGGAGCTCCTGCGCTTGAGCTTACCGCGGCCGGGAGGAATTGCTTCCTGCTTGTTGTGGACCGAGATGCCCATGACGGAGTTGTGCCAGACGGAGAAAATCTGTTCCGGGTGAGCCCAGGCCGTCCTCAAACTGCGATGGCCGAGGAGCGGACACTGAAGACCATACTGCGGTGGGACGCCGGCGGGAGAAGTAAGCGCGACTTGGGTGGTCTTCGGTCCCAGGTGGGAGCTCCAGAATGTCAAAACCAGCCTTACTCAACGAGGACGTTTCAGCCGTGTGTGCAGGTTTCCGAGCGCTCTGCTCCCGGCGCGGGCGGGAAACCAAGGCACACAGCAGGGGCATCATCCCTTTTCTGTGTGGATCTCAGCACCTCTTCCCGCAGCTCACTCCACATCAGCCAGAAATACCCTGCTACAAATGGCCCGCCCTTTCCCTCCTTCGCTCCCGGAGGCAATTATATTTTACTTTAAATCTAACTTTCACTGGGATCCTAACTCAGTCATGATTTCTCGTGCGCTCACACACACACCTCTGCCTCTCTTTTCCTCGCAGTCTCTCTTTCTTTACGCTACTTTATCTTTGGCCTCCGTAGACTGAATGTTGTTGTCTTGGGAAAACTATAAGTAAGTGGCATAGACTGTGTGGTTCACACTTAATTTAAAACCCTTCCATAAGAGACAGTTTGGAACGCCCTAAATATGACCTTGATCCAAGCACTTAGCCTCTGTAAACTAACTGCTGGCCTATTAAGAAGGAAGCTAGGTTAGATCAGCTCTAAGCCCCTGCTTCGCAGCTCTAAAATTCTTTGTCATCTCGAACCATTCACTAAACATTGGACAGTTACAGTCCCTTGACAGATTGAGAACAGAGAAATAACATTAGAGTCGTATCCAGTTTATATGCCATTCAAAAAGGGTATTTTAGGTGAGGCAAAAGTAATTCTTTTTTTGACATTTGATTACTCAGTCCTTAATAGTGTGCTTCTGAAATGCTCTTAGGTGCTTTTTGGAGTTAAAATTTTTCTAATGAACTATCTCTTTTGTTTTCCTTAGGTTGGGTTTCAAACCAAGACATTGGATTCTCCTGGTGAAAATAACTAATTCTGAATGAATAGTAGAAATGGCATAATCTCCATTAACTCATAATTTGAAGGCATGACAATCAAACAACACACGTGGACTTCTGGTACATGGAAATGTGTACACAGAAAAAGGAAATCTATAGTTCTTTAGAAGTAGGAAGGCATTCATCCTCCCTAAAATGAACACACTGTGCTCAGTTATCAAGTTCGAAAATCTCCAAGAATTAAAGAGACTGTGCCACTGGGGCCCCATCATAGCTCTTGGTGTTATAGCAATATGCTCTACCATGGCCATGATTGACTCCGTGCTGTGGTATTGGCCCCTGCATACAACTGGCGGAAGCGTGAACTTCATCATGTTGATAAACTGGACTGTTATGATTCTTTATAATTACTTCAATGCCATGTTTGTTGGTCCGGGCTTTGTCCCTCTCGGGTGGAAACCGGTAAGAAAAGGATTTCTCTTTTAACAGTGAACTCTAATAACTCTATACGATTTGATTTTTACCTTATCTATCAACCAAAGGTATTTATTTTTTGTCATGGTAGACTAATTGCATTATTCTTTATCATTGTGCTTAGAGACTTTATTTCATATCTTTAAGAATATTGATCTAAATTAGCTTCACACAAAGTAATTTTACTGAATACTTGCCTTGCATTAAAAAATATATATTCATTTGTGGGGAGGAGTTCATGGTGGTAAGGAAAGACCAGCTTTTGTATAACTCTACTGAAGTCACAATGCAGTTTGGTTGTAGGACTTTTTTTTTTTTCGCATACTACATTAAAATACCTCAGAAGTGTGAAAAAATTCACTTTAGTAATTGTTGATTTAAATCATAAAGTTTAGAAATCATTGTAAAATTATAGCCTTAAGAATTACACTGAATCAATTTATGGCATATTAAAAATTGTTGGAAAGATTATGCGTATGTGTCCAATTCCTTGCTGAAGAATATCCCTCTGTCACTTGTTAAGAGTACAGAAGATTCTTGAGCACTACTGCAGACCTACTGAATCAGTTTTAATTTTAACAGGCTCTTCAGGTGATTGTCAGATATGTATAAGTTTGACAGTGTAGTCTGTGTGTGGTGTACTATTTGAAATGGGCACATAAAAGGGTGAGACACAATTTATATTCTGAAAAAAACTTAAAACCCAGCCACTGCACCTGTGCAAATCATTCAGCTATGAAATACAGTGGCATGTGATGAGTGCTGCTGAGGTTAAAAAAATGAGCTTTCAGCTGGAGACCTGTGGGAGGAGCAGGAGTTTGCAAAGATAGGAGGAAGAAAGCATTTGATGCCGAGAGAACATTGGGAACACATATTCAGAAACAGTGGACAGCTTTGTCTGACTGGAAAAGAGATTATGTAGTGCAGATAAGGATGAAACAGCGACAGCTCACGGAAGTCTCCAATACATGAGCAATTGTTAGAACAGAGGGAGTTTCTGGAGATTCTGAAGCAGAGCACTGACAGCTGTGTTATAGCAAGATGAAAGCAACTGTAGGAAAGGAAACTGCTAGAAGAGTATGAAAGTGTCCCCAAAGAGGGGAAGTGGTGAATATCAAGGAGAGGACAGATCTCAGAAAGACTGTCAACTCCTGCTCAACTCCCTGCACTCAAGTTGTCAGCTACCTTTTGCTTAATTGCTTCTATTCTAGTAAGATTGGGTTAAGTAAAACCAACTAATGATATTGGATTGTGGGAAAGAGAAATGGAAGATGACCTCTTAGTACTTGAGAGTGAAGCTGCGCTTATCACAGATTTGTAGTAAAAGTATTTGAGCTCAAATAAAAGGCCTGAAAAATGTAAGTTTAGTTTCTATTTTTCCTCTTCCCGTCTCCCATTTAAAAAAGAAAAGTTGATGAAAGCATTTTCTCTTAAAGCTTGACTTGTTATACCTCGGGATCAAGATTCTAATTATTTTGGTTTCTATTTTGATGAAAGGAAAATTCTCAGGATAGCATGTATCTACAGTATTGTAAAGTCTGCCAAGCGTACAAGGCACCGCGTTCCCATCACTGCAGAAAATGTAACAGGTATTTGTCTTTGTTTTTCCCTGGGGGTTGATCAACTTGATTGATGGCTTTTTTGTTGTTTTTGTCATGTGTTTTCTACACAGCAGAAGAAACTAATTTTATTCTCTGAAAGATGACACTTTGTCAGAAATTTCATCAAAATACTTTGTATCCACAATCTCTAATGTACACTTAAATTATCAATCTAGATAAAAAATGGCACACTTTTATATAAGTAAAAAGGTTTTTCTAGAAAAATAGGTGTACTTTGCCTCTTGCCTTATAAGAACTGGGTAAAAAATTATACCTTTAGTTTGTTTCCATTTTCATTTTCAAGATGCTGTTGTCATCTTACAAGCTTTAGAATTGTTCTGGGACTGAACTATAAAGGAGACCAATTTTTTTTAATTCTTATCATTATTGTGTAAGAAATGAATCCATGTGCTTAATGTCACAAGAGTTTTATTATCAGAACCTTAACCTTAATAGAAAGAAAACTGAATGAAAAATACGTGGAACAAGCCAGTACCTGTTATAATGAATAGCTATGTCTACTGATGAATGAGACATTTAGGTAATACTGGAAACAACTAAAGTTTGATTTTAAGATAGGAAATTTTCCTCTAGCAAACGTGAAAAACAGAAGCAGTGAGAAAATTCTCTTAGTAGGCCATATGTTATGTGCTGGAGTTGCTTTGCTTAGGTTAGCGGTTTCACATATGAAGTGTGCTAGTGCAGTGAGACAGGAAATTAAAGTATCTGTCAGGGTCCAGAAACCCTGAGATTTATAAGCAGTTTCCTTGCGTCACTATTGTACTCTGCCTTAGTTCCTGCAGTTCTCAATTAGAGAAAAACCAGGAATCAGGCTTGCTTTTTTATATAATGAGCCTTGTGGTGGGCTTCCCTGTTTTTGCTTTGTTTTAGGGCTTTTGTTTGTTTTTGAGACAGGATCTCTCTCTGTGACTCAGGCTGACGCTGGCCTTGAGCTCTCAATCCTCCTGCCTGAACGTCCAGAGTTGTTCAGGCTTGATCCACCTCGCCTGGCTCCTCCTGACTTCTTTAAACAAGCTCACTTGTAGCAGACATCTTTTTCTCAGAAGCTGTTATAAAGCCTGCCCTTTCACGTGCTGTTTATAATTTTAAAAGGAGTCACTGTCCATAATTGTCTAAAAGCTCATATTTGTCTTGTTCCATGAAGTGTAGTTCCCCTGTGACTCACAGGCCTGCTGGATTCCTGTTTGCTTGATCTTTTAAAGACCAAGTTATTTAAAGCAGACAAGACTTTTTGCTTCATGTGTCATGTAAATTTTTCTTGTTAGATGTGTGATGAAGATGGACCATCACTGTCCTTGGATCAACAACTGTTGTGGTTACCAAAATCATGCTTCGTTCACACTGTTTCTCCTTTTAGCACCACTGGGTTGTATCCATGCCGCTTTCATTTTTGTCATGACTATGTATACACAGCTTTATAATCGGGTAAGTAATCATCAAAATTTAAGTTTCTTTTTAGAAACATACTTCTTGTGGTTTATGTGGGGAAACAATTCTGGTTTACCTTTATATCAATTCCTTTTAAACATTTAAATGTGCTTTTTAAGATAAGCAGAGATTTCTCTTTAAAATTTATGTTGAGATCAGGAAAGACATACAGTTATTAAAGCCGTTAATTGTTTTAATACTGTACATGTCATTTATTAGACTTCAAGCTTAACAGTTATAGGGAAAATAGCAAGAGGTTCATTTCTAGCTACAGTGCCCTGCAAGGTGTCTCTTAGAGCAAGGTCACCCTGCAATATGAATACATCTATCCAGCAGTGGTTTGAGTTGATTCATAGAGAGGTAGTAATGAGCTAAAGGTCATAGGTTACGAAGAAAAATCCACAAAGCAGCCTAAAAGAAGGAACACGGAACCAACGGGACTATGGTGGACTAGAGAGTGTGTATCTCTCTCAGAGGGCACAGCCCATGCTTGACTTTTTTAGCCAGTGCATGGTGTGTGGGATCCCTAGCCAGTAATACTATCTAGATCCTCCAGTTTTTCAGAAAAAAAAAAAAAAATCTAAAACTCTAAAAATTTTTATGTGAAATTTCCTGAACTTTTAATAGCAATAGCAACTAATTTCTAAAATTTTTAAACACTTTTCAGGTCAGGTGGTATTTAGTCTATCAGTCCTGTTTGGCTTTCATTTTATCAGCCCTCAGCCACTGGCTAATGAATAGCCAAATCTTAGGCTATTTGTTGCTGTTGAAGAAAACTAGAAATGTAGAATAGCCCGGAGAAGATGGGAGACAGTTACAGCTTAGTTGGCGTCTAATACTGTTCATCACATTAATGAGTTTATGGAGTTGGACTGACCTGACTGAGAATACAACAGATATGGAAAGATAACTAAGAAAGGCCGTGGGGATGTAACCTAGTGGGAGGGCACTTGCTTAGCATTTATGATGTCCTGGATTTATCCCTAGCATGGGAGGGAAGGCAGAAAACTAAGTAAAAACTAAGAGTGGTATCACACACATCAGCACAAAATGCTGGCCAGTGTATTCATTGGAAGCAGCTATGTTTGATGTATTTTTTGACCAGAGTTTAAAATTGTCATCTTTTTGATCACATTTTAACTGTTACTCCAGGGTCTGAGTGGTTACTTTAACTAAGCATTTTAAATGTGTGTTACCTGTAGCTCTCCTTCGGGTGGAACACAGTGAAGATTGATATGAGTGCAGCCCGAAGAGATCCTCTTCCCATTGTTCCCTTTGGATTAGCTGCATTTGCTGCCACGTTGTTTGCCTTGGGATTAGCTTTAGGAACAACTATAGCTGTTGGGATGTTGTTTTTTATCCATGTAAGTCTCTCTATTACCCTTCGTTAAAAGTTGCCATGTTATTGGGGCAGTTTTGTCAGAGTTTCTAGGTGATTGATTTAATTTGTGAATGCTAATCTACAACTATATAGATCTCTATAGTTGAAAAACTACTCAGTTTGCAGTTTCTCTTGATCTTTGCATCAACCCTAAAAAAAGTTGAGAGAACATTACCCTCTTCCTTTCCTTACCAATGAGTAATTGATTCTGAAAAGGTTAAGTGACTTCCCAGGGTCACCCATTCATTGTACTGAGTAAACATAATTATTGTCATATGGCTAACACTTGTTGATCACTTATTGAAGACACAGTTTTAGCCACTTTATAAATCAGTGCACTTATAACAACTGTGATATACTGTTTAATGCTTACTCTGTGAGAGAATTATTTTGCTAATTTCTGAGGCTACAATAATAAAATGAAGGAGCTCCTTAGAGAACTTTAAGGAACTCATAATAGTAAATGTTTAACTAATTCAGGGCTATAGGTACAACTTAGATTTATGTACAAAATGCTTAAGGAAAGGACCTTAAAAAGTGTTTTTTATAATTCATTTTATTCACTTAATTCAGGCCTAGTGTAGGCGATTGAAGGCTCTTGGAATGTGATAAGGATTCCTAATCCAGGGCTGCTTTTGCTGTGCTGTAGTCTGAAGGCACAGCCAGACTTCAAGGAAATCCAGAAAGCATATAGAATTAGAATTGGGGGGCCCTAGAGCCTTGATATATCACAATTTTTTGACTGCTTTGTTTTAAAATAAACTGATTTTGGTTATAATTTACATTTTTTATCAACCTGGAACCAAATTTGTTAGAATTTTCTCAATGCCTATAATTAAGAATCATATTAATAGTAGACTGATATCCTGAAATGTAAAATCCTATATAAATAAAATTACTCATATCTAAGAAAATGGATAATAGAATAAAGACTGAATGCCTTTGAAAGTGAGCAGTTTCTCTGTTGAATGAACTCAGTCAGTTGTTATAAGTAGATTAATTATAAATTTAAAAACACTGAAGGGCCAGTGAGCTAGCTCAGCATACTTGCTTAGGTAAGTACAGGGGCCAGGGTTCAATCCCTGGCACTGCATGCCGTGCTGGCCCTGTCCTCTGACACACTGAACCGGCAGTGAAGTGCAGGTGTGGTGGTGCGCACCTGTAATCCCAGCACTAGGGAGGCTGAAAACAGGAGGATCACTACGAGTCTAAGCTGTATAGCAAGACCCTGTGCGCGTGCACACACACACACACACACAATCACTGATAATAGATTTTAATAACAAAATGCACTTAGGTGCAAATTAAATTGATTGTATCAATGTTTTATTCATAATCTGAAACCTTGGTCTGCAGGTATTTAAAACATGAATTTTAATAAGAGATTCAGGCTTGATTATGGGTCGACAGGATTTTTTTTTCTTGCAAAGCAGTTAGGAGCGGGTATGTTAGCATCTGAAGAACACAGACTTAATCACTTAGTGTCTGTTGTGCTCAGTGTCTATAACATGGAGCAATACAAGCTGTGTCACAGGATTATGATGAGAACAATAATCTTAAATAAGCTGATTTTATGTTTTTAAATTTCACTGTTATTTAATTTCCAGATAAAAATAATTCTCAGAAATAAAACTTCTATTGAATCCTGGATCGAAGAGAAGGTAAATTTTAATCATTTTTTAACTAATAGACTAAGTTAAGTGCCTGGAAATGAAAACATGTATACCAAATAGATTCCTTAGCGTGCCGTATAGAAGGTAAATATAGTTTAGTTATTTCCACCTTAATATAGCTGCCACAAAAATGTTTCTCACACATCTTGAGTTGCTGAAGAGGTATAAGTCACATACTAAATCATTTGGCCCTTATTTCTCAGACTAGGCAAGAACTACCCCTTTTGGATAGGTGCCTAAAGTGTTTCAGATATTAGATAAACCTTTGTCACGGAGCTCACAGCCTCTACTCCATACTTCACCCCATCTATCATCATTCTAATCATAAACAAAATCTCACTACCCTGCTTCCTGCTTAAAACTTTGCAGGGTCTCACTACTGCTGCGATACTCGAGACTGAAGCATCAGATCCCTGCAGAAGCCAGACACAAGCTACCTGAGGAGAATCTAGGCTGTGTGTCAAAGAGCTGCCTAACAAAACTGACTGTTGCCCAAAGAGGGTGCCTTAGTTTATGAGATCTTCTCATTGTTTTCCAGGAAAAGTTAAGAGATTTTATAAGGCCTCCTTTCAGTTTTTAAATTGTTAAACCGCAAATAAAATTGAAAATATAACAGCTTTGTGAGCTGAGTGTGCCATAAGGTAGCTCTGTGGCACATATTTAGACCCTGGTAACTAGGTGGTGCTTAGCAGTTGCATAGCAGCTGTTCTCAAACCTTTTGGTCTCAGGATCACTGTGGAGTTCTGAAAATCACTAAGGACACTAAAGTGCTTTTGCTTTATGTATTGTATCTATTGGTAGTTGCCATATTTTCTGAGAATTTTAAAGATTTCATTTAAAAATAACCCATTATGTATTAATAAAAGTAACATTTATATGAAAAGTAATTATAGTTTCCAAACAGAAAGTTTAGTGACCTTGTTTTATATTTGTATAAATCTCTTTAATGTCTCATTTAAGGCAGTTGGAGTCTCACATTTACTTCTCCATTCAGTTTGTTGAGGTATGTTGCCTTGGTTGAAGTTGATGAAGAAAATTTAGACTCCTAAAGATAAGTAGGCCAAAAAGGGTAGAGCATTTTAATAGGCCTTTAGATGATAATGGGTGTCTCAGTGACTTTTGTTTAGCTGTAGCTGAGACAAAATACCCCGCAGCCAGATAAAGGGATAAAGGTTTATGTAGGTCACAGTTTGCAGAGGTTTCAGTCCACAGTGGGCTGCCTCCAAAGCAGGGTGGCTTCATGGAGGAGAGGAGTTCATGGCAGGCCGAAGACGTTGATAGCATCTTTCTGCCTCTTATTTTGTATCTAGGCCACTAGGATTAAGGCTGTGCTAAACCAGTGGACTGATTGAGTTGTCTCACACCCTTAAGCCCAGTCTCACACACTCTAGATCCACAAACCTCTGAAAAGCCCCACCTGTGACCACATGCGGCTTTCAGTGCTAGCCCCAAACCGTAACGTGGTGTTATTTCATCCTACATTAAAAACCAACAAGTAGGGGCTGGTGAGATGGCTCAGTGGTCTAAAGCACCTATTTAGAACAAGCTTAGCAAAACACAGGGACTGCAGTTCAATCCCCCAGCAAGCACCACATGCCAGCCAGCCCCGCCCCCTGGTGGGCTGAACTGCCCCCACACACACACACACAAATAAAATTTTTAAAAAAAGCTTTAAAAACCAACAAGTAACATTATTTGGTCAATAAGCTTTTGTACTTTTTACATTAAAATTTGTGATCTTTTCCACATTGTCAGGCATTGATCATTTGAGAGATGCTGATTTACTCTGTTATGAAGATTTTCAAAGTGTTGTCAGTTTTCACAAACTACATTCGAGTTCCATGCAGTGGTACATACTTCTCAGCTGTGTAAGAGGCAGTCACAGAAGGAGCGCAGGTTCATGACCAGCCTGGGCAACTTACAGAGACCCTGTCTTAAAATTAAAAAAAAAAAAGGGGGGGGGGTTAGGAATGTAACTTAGCACTTCCTGGGCACAGTCTCCAGTGTCACCACACTGCCAGTTGCTTCCTTTGAAGAAACAGCCTGGTTTTATCATTTCTGAGAAACTGTCCGCGAAATACTGAAGTCTAACCTTCATTTAACTGTTCCTTCTTTCAATACTAAAGAATTACATTAATAAATAAAACTGACTACATAGCTATTTTTGTTAACTCATAGCATTACAAGTATTTTTCCTGAGAAAACCATTCTGCATTGGCATGCTTTATGTCTTCTTCCTATGTTGAGATGCAGAATGTTAAAAGTACATGTACTTAAAGAGTTGAGATATAGCTGGGTGTGGTGGTGCACGCCTGTAATCCCAGCACTGAGGATGCTGAGGCCAGAGGATCAAGGCCAGCCTGAACTGCTTAGTGAGACTTTGTGTCCAAAAACAAAAGAGTTGAGATTTTATAAAATAATAATTTTTGCTGCTTTATCAACAACATTCTTATATAAAATTGTTGGCTTTTTATAACCTATAAGTATGTGTAGTCATTCCTTGAATATTTTCAGGGACTGGTTTTGGAATTCTGGTACTAAAATCTGTAGATAAAAAAATAATAAAATCTGTAGATATTCAAGTGCTTTACATAAAGTAGCCATGTATTTGCATGTAACCTAAGCACATCTTCCTCTATGCTTTAGATCATCTCTAGGTTACTTAAAAAACCCGGTACAATGAAATGCTGTGTCAATAGTTATGTATACTGTACTATTTAGGGAATAATGATAAAAACTTCTATACATGCTCAATGCAGAAGCAGTTTCATTTTGCTAATATTTTTATTCACATGCATGGATGTGGTACCTGTGGACATGGAATGCAAACAGTTAGTGATGACTATAATAGTACAGTCTAGTGCCACTCTTACTTACATCTCACATGTCAACAGTCTACCCACTTTTGCAATTGTCTTCATGCTGAAAGGCAAAGAGCATGCTAGAATTGTTACGGCAGTAGTTTGAACCTCAGGAAAAGGTCTTGGGGATTACAGGAGCCTGTAAAGCATTTGTGAGGATCTCAGATGTACAGATTTACATCCAAGCCACTTAGCTTATTCCTAAGCTCTTTCATCACTTTCTCTTACCTGGCTCGCGGCCTCTCCCCATCCTTCTACCCTGTCTCACATTTGTGGTGTGCACATCTTATACCTTCTGCATCTTTGCATATACTATTCCTTTTGTCTGGCATACTCTTCCCTCTCGTGTTGCTTTGCTTCTTCCCCTCAAGATTTCGTTTAGGTGTCATTTCTTACAAGGAGCCTTCCTTGGCTTTCTCTAGACTTGCTAGGGCACTCTTCAGTGCCTTTCCCTGAGCAATACATAGCTCTGTTGCCTTTTAACACTTAGTAAAATAACTTTCATACTTACCAGTTTTTCTCTGCAAATAGCCTAGAGCTGTATTTTTTTAAAAATTCAGTCCATTTTTTAGAGCTCCAAAGCTACCATTTAAAAAAGGCAAAAAAATCTGAATGATGGAATAAGTTCATTCATTTTACAGTTTGGTTATTCTTTTAATAAACAATGGCATTCATAATCATGAATTATGTCTTTTTCATAAAATACTATAGCTTGATAATCAAATTTTTCAAAATACCATTTCTGTTAAGCATAATAAATATATTGACTTCAAAATAACTTTTGTTGGCAATGACCAAGGCTCTCTAAAAGATATTGTACTAAATCTAAAAGTTGTATTAAAATTAGCACTTTATTGCTGAGTAAAAATATTCATATTATTGTACTAAATCTATGGAAAGTTTATAGAAATATCACAGTAAAGTTTTGTAAAGTTTTCAACAGTTTACACTTATTGTTGGAATAAATAATGTATCTGTGTACCACTAGGTGTCAGCAGAACTTAAGAAATTTGAAGCCAGTCTAACCATGTAGGACCAGGGAAATAGCTCAGTAGAATAAGTGCCAGCCCGGCAAGCACAGGGTCCTGAGTTCAATTCCTGGTACCGCAAAAAAAA